GGAATGAGAAATTTATTTACTCATTTATTTATTCATTTATTTGTTGTTTTTTATTTACTTTGCATTTATTTTTTTTATTTATCTAATATTCATACAATAATTTATTATACTTTAATAGCCAACAGCCAACTCGAAAGGCTACTCCTCATAGCTTTTCATACTTTGGCTTTCCAGACACTAACAGCTAATTCAACAGCCATTTACAAAACACTCTGTTAGGCTGTTTGACTGATCAAAACAATCAAATTAGTCAAAACAGCAAAAAACCATCCAAAAAGCCAATTCAATATCCAAGCATGGTCATTTAGGACAATGAAAGAACACCTCCTAAAGAGCTTGTTCTATTTGTCACATTGGATTTGATTTGATTTTATTAAAATCTAATATAATTGTAGTTAATTTAAATCCATTTTTGATATGGTTAAATATGATTTGATCTCATCTGATTCTAATAAAAATAAGTAATAAATAATAAAAATAATTGATTACCAAGTTTCTTCTCCTTTGGACATACTTGACTTTTTCCCCTCCCCCTTGAGCTCCAGCTCCGGTTTCACCTTCTTCTTGCAAATGTTGGGATAACCTTTCAATGCATCAAAACGTATAAATGTTATTGAAAAAATCGTATAGAAAAAATGTATATATGAATTTAAAGAAAAACCTATGGGGAGATTGGTTTGGGTCTTTAGTTCTTCCTTTGTCATGGTTCTAACTGAAGAATGTTAGGAATGTTGGGATTGTCGTCCAAATATATAAAGCTTTGAGAATTTGATTAAAGTAATCCAAAGTAAAAGAAGTTTTGAAAAAAAAAAAAGAAGTGGGAAAGCAACTATAAATTCTAGGCTCACTCTATTTCAAATTTTCTCCATTTGACTTGGCACTGTTTTTATTAAAGTGCAATTTTTGAGATTGCAGTTTGTATAAAGAAAAGAAAAGTGATATAGATCGTGCAATATTTTCTTTAAAACAAAATAGAAGAAAATTTTGAGAGTATCCAAATACCTCGTAGAAAGTAGGAAAATAATCGTGAAACGGAAGGAGTATTAATAATCAAATTTTATTTACTTAGCCTTCCAATTTTCTTCTTCTGCTTGGAATCTTTGGATGCCCGGGGCGTAGCACAGTTGGTTCAACAAGAGGTGTCAAAAGAAATGTTAAAATTCGGGTGAGTCGAGAACAAGGGGTGAAGTGTCAGGTAAAATTAACCACTTAGATATAAAGTCATGATTTACTTTCTAACCCAAAAGTTTAAGCTGTTAGGTAGGCTTTCATCATTCTATATATGCTAGTGGTATTCTTCTTTATTTTCCGATGTAGGAACTCCAATACTCTTCCTCAAGTGGCAACTAGACTGAGCTAGTTAGCACTTGAACAAACAGATCTAGCATCTCAATCTGTTATGGCTAGCTCACACAACGAGCGGTTGCATCTCAATCTCTTTTAACCAACTCAACCCAAACCACGGACAGGTAGCTCATTTTGCTAAACCCACGTCCAAACAACCAGGAAAAATCGAACTCGCACAAGACATCCTCTGATACCATGATAAGATTAAGGATGAGGTAGGGATCACTGATTGGGTAATAAGAACACTTGGGTTGAACCACATCAAAAATAGTATATCCTGAATTTATATGCAAATGCTTAATTTTACCTGACACTCCACCCATTATTCTCTGCCCACCGGAATTTTAACATGGTATCGCAACCAGTTTTATCCCACCTCGTTTGTTAAGGTGTCCATCTAGATGTTCATTCCTAGCGGCCCCATTCTTTTCGCCCAATTGTCCGCGTGGAATGTATATCCAACGGTTTGTAGCCTGTTTAACCCGATTGCTTGTGTGAAAGTCCATACCTAGCGGCTCGTGGTTCTTTAGGTGTTGGCACTCAAAAAAAAAATATTAAGGGGATGAAAATCCATTTACAAGTAGTTAACCGGTTATATTTAAAATGGCCTGGTTGCCACTTGAGGGAGAGTGTTAGATTGCATCCCATATTGGAAAAGTGAGAAAGAAATAATCGGATAATAAACTCTTGAGTTGAATTAAGTAATCGATTGAATCTAATCTTATGATGTGGTTCAATCCAAGTATCTTATTGTCCAATTCAGTGATTCATACCCCATTCTATATTTTATCATTCTTTGTTAATTAAATATCATCCACGATTAACTAGTTTCTTCGGCTCTATTTGGCTGGGAGTCCAACACTCCAACCGTTCTAGCGAATAGTAGTCAACAACATCCTCTTTATTTGTATAGATTTTTAAAATATAATCAATTTTTTGTACTATTTCTTGGGGTTAAATATCCATCCACGTTTTAAGATATAAATTTGACTTCATTTGTATGATCTGAATTCTAAAAATCTAATTTCGTAACTATATTTTTTCATTCTAAAAATGAAAAATATAAAGTTGATTTCATTTTACTCAATTTTAAATAGCGTAAAAGATTATTTAGTGAGTTAATATATAGATTACATACAAAGAGACTTGAATCTTTCTTTAAAATTCATGAAGAGCATTTAATCAAATTCGTAAAACTCAAGTTGTTTGATAATATAGTTTTTGTAATATCTCCAATGCTCTATTCGTGTCTAAATGTGTTGGGATTCCTCCAAGTCCCACACCGGAGGGAGAAGTAAAAATGGACCAAATTATATAGGTTCACCCAACCCCATTAGTATGAGGCCTTTTGGGAGGTGCCCAAAAACAAATCCGTGAGGGCTTGGCCCAGAGCGGACAATATCATACTAATGCGGGGTTGGGGTGAGGGCACGCGCAGTCCCAACAAAATGTTTGCTTCATTTTTAAGAACATGTTCTTACTTTAATTACATTTTGTGGAAGTACACAATAATAGTTAGATTAAAAGATATCCTTTGGATACACATGGAAAAAAAAATAAATATACAATAAATCATAGCGTTGGTTGAATTTTTAGCAATTTCATGGGGCCTTTTGGGAGGTGCCCAAAAACAAATCCGTGAGGGCTTGGCCCAGAACGGACAATATCATACTAATGCGGGGTTGGGGTGAGGGCACGCGCAGTCCCAACAAAATGTTTGCTTCATTTTTAAGAACATGTTCTTACTTTAATTACATTTTGTGGAAGTACACAATAATAGTTAGATTGAAAGATATCCTTTGGATACACATGGAAAAAAAATAAATATACAATAAATCATAGCGTTGGTTGAATTTTTAGCAATTTCATGGGGTTTGTATTCAATTTTAAAGTTTAAACTGTGTTTTTATTAAAAATATCTACATTCACTATAAATCATATTTTTGAAAAATAAAACGTATAAACACGAATGTATTTTTATACGTACTCTGAACGTATAAAATGTACTCCGTATAATAAAACATATTTTAAAAAATGTGATCCGTATTATAAACGAATATACGAATATATGTATTATACTCGTATCCGAATAAGGTAACAAAGGCTGTGAGTCCGTATTACATTTTGAGAGATTTGAAAAGTATACATACTTACATAGCATCTTTAAATTCACGTAAGAGATTACGTACTTGAAAATTATGCTTTTCTTTTTTTAGAATTTAGTTCGACAAATAAAAAAGAATTTATAAAAATAAATTTACTTACAACATATATAATTGAATGGCGATGAGATTAACGAAATTTTGATCAACAGAGCAATGATATAATGTCAAAGAAGAAACTCAATAAAAAAGTAGAAATCTAAAACATAGAGAATTGTTTGTGCAGTTCGGAGCTGAATCTCCTACATTTGCGACGCCCACATCCGTGTAATAGCGCTCTACTAAATTACTCTAGTGTTTACAATCAATTACACCGGAGTATATATATATATATATATATCTCAATGTATTGCCTAGAAACTTACTAGTGATTACAGACTACAAACTCTGTCCGAGTCTTTCTCCCGGGCGTGCTACACCTTTTTCATGTTCTACCCCCACCAACCATTTCCTGCACTTACCCCCAACCTACCCACCCCAGCACTCTAGCTATCCCCACCCCTCGTCCCTCATCACTTGCCACCCACCCATGAACCCTATCTGCCCGTTCGGGCTCCTAATTCACCCTGCACCACCTCTTATGATTTTTTAATATTTTTAAATTGCTTCCATATATCTTTTTTTTATTTAATATCAATTTTAAATATTAACAATAGAAAGTACTCCGTATATATTTAAGAAATTATTTTCCTTCTTGCAAAAAATATGATTGGAAAATAATTTTCCTTGGAAATCATTTTCTCTTAAAAAATATTCTCACAGGAAAATAGCTAGTTTCCCCAATCAAATGCACCCTTAAAATAGGGCATGAGTATCATTTGGTTTTACGAGTACTTTTCTAGTTGGGATGGATGTTTATCCCAGAAGATATCTTACGTTAATATATATCTCTGAAATTTGAATCTTTCGGTAAAACAGGTTGAGCTCCGATACCACTTAGCATGTTGGGCGTGCAACGGATGAAACGATAAAATTAGAACGTAAAAAATACTTGTAGAAAGCAAAGTAGGACACCAAAGATTTAACGTGATTTACCCCAAACTTTTGGTCTACGTCCACAAACAAACAATCCTATTACTTTTTCTATTATTACAAATAGTAAGCACACACTTTTTACCTACTTTTCTTTTAGGAAGACAACTCCTAGGTAAATTCTGTGGTACAGCCAGATGTACCGTACATCATAGCTAACTTGTAATTAAAAAAAACAGAACAAACACTATATTGTTTCAGAATGAACATTATACTGACCTCCTACTCTGTATTTTTTTTCCTTCAATGCTTAAGTGCTAACCGCTAAGTTTAGGATTGTGGGCCCTCCAAAACAAAACATACGACGTACTCCGTATAAGATAATAGGAGGTCGGCAATATATCCGAGTATGGACTACAAAAAAGAGATAGAAGCAATATATCCCTAAAATTAAACCCGATCACGGGCCCGGGTGCTTGGGCTGGTCCCAATATACCCGTTAAGTAGTGGGTCCGGAGTAAAAAAGAATAATTACGACCTAAAATGAAAATCTGAGATGGTAAAAAAAACTGTGATAAAAATAGAGAGAGCCCATGCTTGGCAGGCAGGGTAACATAGAGCTGCTTGCTAGATGAAACACCAAAGTACAGTATTTCATTTAGGATGTTCAATAAAGCACAGAATTCTGTTTCCAGACTTCTATTATTCAAACTTCAAGAACAAGAGAAAAGGTACACACATAAACCTCACACACTGCCACTTACTTGGACACCTAAGGCTCTCCTCCGAGCTCCACTCTCAGGTTGTCATACGGGTAGACCTTTGGCGTCTGATCCAACAAAAAAACAAAACATATATAACTGTGAGTTAGGCAACAACAAACCCAATTAAAACTGCACAAGAAATAACATAGAGAGTGTGTGTTTGTGAACTAACTTCCTACTCGAAAGTAGAGAGACTCTTTTCATAAAGACCCCAAGCTCAAACACAGACACACAGACAATGTAAATACGTACAATAGCACGAACAAAGTAAGAGAGTAGAGTAAAAACACATAAACATGTATTCAGGCCCTAGTAGTCCACTATTTCATTCGTAGTCTGTCCCAGAAAGATAGTTCAGTTTCTATGTTCAATAATCTGTTTTTCACTAATGCCACATTTTTACATGTACCCCTAACTACCCTAAGCAGTGTAACTTGCTTAGTTTCTATTACCTACCTTCTTTATTGAACCAAGACAATTAGTGTAGATCCGACATCCAAGGGCATATAATATCACATGTAAAACTGATGTTTCAATTATGCTCTGTCCCTTCCTTAACTCACGTGCAAAAAGATATTGACCTATCTTTTTGGCATGGAGGTAGTTTTAAAAAGTAATTCTTCGCTCCCTAAAAGCATAACAACAATCCCAATAAAATCCCACTTGTACGATCTAGGGAGGGTGTATGTATGCAAACTCTACCCCTACTTGACAATAGAGGACGATATGACCACTTCTTACTACTTAGGCCAGTATGAAAAGCTATCATGCAGGCTCATTAATACTTGAACAAAGCAAAACTTTTTTTTGGGCATAGCAAAGCAACACTTAATTTCAAGTAAGATTGTCTTCAGTTTGGTCGCACTACAGTTGTTTTTACCCACTTTCCATTCTTGAGAATAAAGTTGGAACTTGTTCCTGAGCAATTGAAAATATGCCAAGCTTAGAAATAAATGTGACCCTTCAATAAATTAAAGACAATATCTGGGAAACTTGTGAAATTGACAAGATAAAAATGAGCGCATTCAACAATCAAGGAACCAACTAATGGTAAAGAGGCATGATATTCCAATTCTGACACTACGAGATTTGAGGGCCCTATCCCTGAAGTGATTCTTACTACTTCTCCCCCTCCCCCTGCCACACACACACACACACACACAAGATATATCACCTTTATGGCTTATGCTATTGTCTTCATGGTAGCATAACAATGAAATATGGAGGATGGCTGAGGGTCAGGCTAGGTGGATTGGGGATAAGAATATTTCAAGGTCTAACGGAGCACTGTTGGGTGTCAATGTGTCATATGAACCTCAACGAATGACATAACCTCATTTGTAATATATACGATAGAGTAACCAATGTTGTTTTTTTAATATGAACTCTATTCATTCAGGATCAAAGTAAAAGAGCATGTGCAGCTTTTTAACCCAGATAGAGACTGCATATGTTTTCAAGTTATTGAATTTGTAGAGTCGATTAGATGAAATGTCATGTACATGCCAACTAGCATCTATACATTAACAAACCGGGCAAAGTAAGCATCTATGGAAAAGTAAGCAAACAAACCGGGCAACCAGTATATCCCATCAAGTTCAGCATTTGAGTGAAAGCTTAGGAAAAGTGTGTTACTGAAACTCTAAAAAGCTGTGGAAAACTCTATTCTGACAGGTTTGGCACCTCAAGAAAGGATATACATATGGAGTATAATCTTACTCTCACACACACAACCTCTCTACTTGTAAGTAGGGGTCTGCGTACCCTCACTCCGAAGACCCTACTTAGTGTGGGGTTCTACTTGGTTTATTGTTTTTGTTGTAATCCTATGCTCACACAACTAACAGAACTGCCTGCACATGATGATACCGGAAAATCATCCAAAGATATTCAACATATTCATTTTAATCATCAACGGAGTAGTTCTTCTTAACTTGTAAGGTTGTCTAGAGTAAAACCAACAAAGAATTGGTGAATAACCTATGCAGAAGTACTGTGGATTACTGCAAGAAGCAAAGAAACATAATCCTAACAATTTTCACCTTTATATGCTGTGTTTAAACTCAAAATTTGAACAAGCTGGATGCAGTATGCAATGCAAAAACGGGAATGAAGTACTCTATGACTCACAAATGGAATTGAGGAAGCCTTGTCGTTCCAGACGGCCAACAGTCCAAGGGAAGCAAAAAATCCCAATCCCCCGCACAACCAAGCCAATGCTTCATACTGATCCCAATAAAAAAGGCACATTTTGAAGATTAAAAAAAAACGAAAAACTAATTCAGCAATGGCATATACAAACCTAAAATTTCATAGCAAAGTGAAATAAAAATGGAAAAAAATGGCAAAAATCCTTACCTTTCCTACGGTATCAGCAATACGATCGATACAAGGTTCGGGGAATGGAGTCCCATTGTCCCACACGAGCTCATCATTCACTGGGAGCTGAAATGAAATTTCAGAAGGAAAACAAAAAACGAAAAGCAAAAACAGTGTTTTAGCCTTGCTTTGCTATGCTCTAAGACCTGGGAAAAATCTCAGAAAATTGACATATGAATAATGCTGGAACTGAGAGTGCGTTTGTTTGAGGAATTGAAAATTACTGGTTTATCCGGAACGATGTGCTTGCCGACGGGGAGGCCCATGCCGGAGCGAGCACGAAGAGAAGAGGCGACGGAGCGCGCGACGACGCCTCGGCCGCCCATGATGTGCGCCGCCGCTTGGCTCAACCTTCCGGCCATTTTCAGATGATCGGATCGCTTGCTGATTTGGGGATTTCAGTGAAGTTGTCTGACAGATTTACGGAAGCCAGGAAAAGATACTCTTTCCGATTAGCCCCAACGCAAACATGAAATATTCCCTTCTCCATTTGATCTCTTTTAATGAAATTGTTTAAACAAAATTATTATTATTCAAAAATTACAAAATTTTTCTGTAGTTTTTAAATATATAAATTTTATTTTTTATTTTTATACCAAGTTTTAAATAATATGAAATGAAAAAAATTTGAATTTTACTTCATTTTACATTAAGTTCTAATCTTTTAGGGACAATAGACGACTAGACGTATTTAATTACTTCGTATAATATAGACTTAATACTATTAGTTTCATTTTATAATGTATTTTGATATAATATTTATTATACTCCATAACATTTATTTATAATTATATTTAGTTAATCATCAAAAAATATCACAGTATAATTTAAAAAATAAAAAATAACAATATTCAATAGTTTTGTATAGCAATATTTCATTCGACACCGAATTAGTTCCTACCCATCCTAACTTTTTCCTATAAACCACTCGTTGCGCCTTCCGTCCCTTACTTTCCTAGTTTCCTCTATTCCACCTTGATAATGGTGAAACAAAGAGGAAGAGAGGGGTACAGGAAAGAGTGATTTGGGGGTTAGAGTGAGTATGAAACACTTCAGAATCTAACAAATATTGTAAAATTTTTAAATCACACATTATCAAATTATGATACCCATGAGTGGTATCAAAAGAGTCCACTCAAAAACATAAATTTTTAACATAATGTTTGTATCCAAGAGTAATGTTATTAGAAGTAATACTTTAAAAAAATTAAACAATTGATTAGACTTTAATATAAATTACTAATTGAAATTTTGACATTAGTGTTATTATTGTCAATGCATAAATTTATTATTAACTAATTGAAATTACTAAATTTTGACCATGCATCATGACCACACCTTTGTTGTAGGGGGGGGGAGATAGAAAGTTTATGAGAGTAGGAACCATGAGTTTTACAAACGAATTGCAGAAGTACTCCAAAAAGCCAATGACACCCGTGGCAAATGGCAACGGGACCGAGGCGTATTTAAAATGCATGAATATCATGTTACATAAAACTTGTAATTTAAAAAGAGTGACCTAAGTTTATGCAGGAGAGTGGTTAAAGTTCATTCAAAGATAGAAATTTGGAAAATAGTTCAAAATCAATCAATTATAAATATATATATATATATATATATATATATATATATATATATATATAGTTATATACTTGTGCTCATGTAGTCATATATGTTACTCCCACCATGGCCTTTGATCCAAATTTAGTCATATATACTCTTCCTGCAGAGTGAGAACAACTACCATTCTACATTTCTACCCCATCACAACATTATAAATCAAACAAGTTCAAAAGCATTTTGAGAAGAAAAAAGTGTTTTCCCATCCAGTTTCAGTACAGTTTCCAGCCTCCTCCATGACGCCACCGTCGCCACCCTTTAATCCGATTGAGTTAGTTCATTCTCCCGAGCTCTACCCGCTTCCATCGAGTTGCCCATTGGATACAAGGTGTGCCATATATTGCTATAATTTTCATATAAAAGAAAAACAAAAAAAAGCTCATTCATATTGCAGTCTCCATATGACACTCAAATCGCAATGTCTGCATACACACACACACACACACACACAGAGTCACGCACATATATATTTGTGTGTGTGTGTGTGTGTATACTGTAAAAGTTGTTACAGAGTAAGTTGCAAAGACTGGGAGAGGTGCTCACCATATTAGGAAAGTAGACAATTATTTTGGTGCGGGCTAAAAATGAAAGTGAGACAATTAATTTTAACTGGGGAAGGAGGGAGTATTATATAAGAGACTCACCGCGTGATATGCATAAGGTGATTTCCCTTGGCGCTCGAAATGTTTGGCCATGATAGACCATTCAACCGGCCCCCACTCTTCCACTTCAAAACAATTTCCCAGTGCAACTTTGTATAACTGAAGAAGAATGGCATGATGACATGTGAGGAGTGCCCAGACAAACAAAGAAACTATTGCAATACGCATCGATAATTCTTTTGGGCACAACTTAATTTTAGTCAACTATATCTTCAACACATTGTATCGCCATTTTGATACAGCTTAAAATATTAAATTATCAGTTTTAAAGTTGGTTAAGTGCCAACACCAATAGAGTAAGTAGGCCTTACCCCTACTTGGAAGTAGAGAGACTGTTTCCAAGAGATCCTTGACTCAAACACAGAAGCACAAAGTAAACAAAGTAGCACTAACAAAATTAGAGCACAACGACACGTAGCTTACATATTGACACATGGTATACATACTCAAACTACAAGGGTCAAAGATTTACCTTACTATTCTAATCCTAGATCTCTAACACTATGTTTGGTTCAAGGAATTTGGAAGGAAAAGAAAAGAAAATGATTTTCTCTCATTTTCCTCACCAAAATGGGAGGAATTTTGTTTTTCCTCCTCTTAGTACATTTTGACATCTCATTTTCTTTTCCTTCCACTTTTCCTTTGTTTTCCTCTCTAACCAAACAAGAAAACCTATTTTCCACTTAATTTTCTTTTCTTTCCCCTATCAAATTCCTTGAACCAAACATAGTGTAAGTGTTCCTATCTAAAGTCATATCTTGGATTTAGATCTTGAAGTCACAAGTCCTATCTAATCACTTCCTTTAAACTCTTTTTAGGTCTACCCGTACTCTTTCTCATGCCCACTACTGCAAGCCTCTTGCGTCACCCCACTCATTAAGTGTCACGCAATAAAAGCTTCACAACAACATATCTAATGGATTTTATGTACTCAAATGTTACGTAAATCGTACTGTGGTAACTTACAGTTTATTAGAGACATGTAAGCTGGTAAAATGTGATCCAAGATAACTTTACACTAACCTTGGCTTGGTCAGTCAGGAGCTCAGTGCCAGCTGGGTAAGAAGCATAATATTGGTCAGCTCTTGAGTACCCAGCTCGAGTACTGCAATAGATCGACAAAAGGGCATAAACGATTAATCAAAATACATACACATCCCACTATTGAGCACGCAACAAAACTCAAAGGTGAAATTCTTGACATAATGATGGGAACATTAGAGTGGACTATGGAGTGTCGCAAAAAAAAACGTCCGAGAATTTCATTGGCAAACACTTCACTTTATTGGTATTTATATAACAAACTCAAAAACAAGAGACACTTGAGCAAATCTGCAAAAGAGAGAAGCATGACCTAGCTTAAAAGCAAAAAAGATTTGCCGTTATACAACTGTACAAATCCAGACTTACGTATTGTTGGTGTACATATAAGTAAGGGCAGCAGTGAAGCAATAGAATCCGGCATACGAAACAACTCTCCGCAACTTCTGGATCTTTAGGATCTCTAGCAATCCATCATACGCCCACATTTCTTGAGTTCACAAGATGGAACATGCACACCTAAAAAAGCACGTCCAAAGAGAATCCATGATTGAGTTTCCACCTCTCCGGCATAAAACAAACAACAAACCCACTAGAATCCCAGAAGTAGGGTGTATGGAGGCCATGTATACACATAACTTACCCCTACTTGAAAGTAGAGAGGGACTCCCGTAAACATGCAATTTCCAAAGAATTCGGGAGTAAATGGTGCACTTTTCTCAAATAAATATAACCTCAAAATCTTATATGTTGATTTGTACAGAATATTTAATATTCTTCCAATGCATGGCTTAACACAATCTTTTTTGGTTAAAGAGTCAACATCCTATTTACTCTTCACTTCATGAGTAAATGTGTGGTTTCCATGGCTGAAATAGTTAAATAGACATATTTTTATTTTTAGTTATTTATTATGGAGTATTTGTTTATTTATTTATTTAGTGTTAGTTAGGTGCTTTCAAAACAAAAGACCCAATTTAGAAGATTTGAAGGGTAATACTATCCCAAACAATGACAAAGAAACATTAAATTAGCAAAAAAGGTTGGGTACCATATTCATTTGTTATTTTAATTAAACAAAATAGGGAAAAAGACTAAAAAAAGGAGTAAAATACTGCAAATATACCAAAACAGGAGTTCCATATTTTTATTACCAAAATATGAGTTAAAATGCATATACAGTGTCTACCATGACCATATACATTACAAAAAATATTGTAAAATGTCCATATAAAGGGAGTACAACATTACCACAATGTAAACTACTACGGAGTATTTTGGGATAAAAAATGAAACTCGTATTTTAGTAGTTTCTCCATATTTTACTCTTATTTAGAGTGATTTCTTAACCAAAATAACCCAATGCTAAAACTAAACTAAGGGTATGTCTGGGAGGGTTTTGGGAAGGGAAGGGTGGAGTTATTTCTCATTTGATAATTAAATAGAGTATGCGGGATTAGTTCTCATTTTGATATTAAACTCAATATCCTAAATTTAAATTTAAATACGGAGTAATTTTTAAAAAAAGTTAAAAGTTTAACAATCATATTACTGGTAATAAAAATAACTGAAGTTTCATAGTTAAAATTCACCTAATCACGAATTCATAGTTTACAAATCCACAAAACACAAATTCAAGTAGCAACAATCAGAATTGATAAGTGTCTAAAACAATTAAACAAATGCTGAGTATTTACCTTGAAAAAGAAAAGGCAGTGGCTTGAAGGAAGCAGAATAGCGGCTTGGACGGGCCTGAATCGAACGGCGGCGCGGGTCGTTAGGGGAGTGCCGGAGTCCGCGGCGGGGAAATCGACCGGCGGCGCCGGGCGTTGTAGAGTGCTGGCTTGAATCGCGGTTAGTAGCAGCAATTGTGGAAGACAGATTCGGAAGAAATGAAACACTCTTGAATCGCGGTTCGTTTGATTGAATTTATTTTAAATTCATTTCATATGAAAGTTAAGTTAAATTAAAAATTAAAAATTATATATTAAAAACTTACATTAAAAGAGCCTAGAGTGGGCATTGCATAAAATTACTCACGGGTAACGCGAGTTTTGTCGAAATAACTCTCAGGTTCCTGTATTTTCAAGAAGACAACGGAGGTCCTTACTTTTTGTTGTAATGACGGGTAGGGGATATTTCATCCAATATTTCATCCAAAAACATTAATAAATGTATTTTTTCTTATTTTTTCTAAATGTTTTAAGGTAATAATTAGGTTGCTCCTTTTTTATTTCTTCATTTTTCTTTTTTTGTTACTCTTTTTTTAAGTGTTATTTTAGAATTTCTTCTATAAAATCGGATAAAAATTCAAAATTTTTGTATTATATTAAAATAAATGAACTAAAGAATTTTCTAAAAAAATAAAAAACTAAGTAATGGCAAAATAGGAAAAAACGGTAATGGAAAAACAGGAAAAAATACATTTATTAACACTTATGAATGAAGTATTGGATGAAATGTCTCCTTCCAGTTATTACAACAAAATATAAGAACTTTAATTGTCTTCTTGAAAATAAAAGAAACTGGGAGTTATTTCGACAAAACTCACGTCACCCGTAAGTAATTTCCTGGGAGCATTGGTTCTGTCCAAAATGCTCTTTTTAGATACTCCGTATATCTCATCTATTTATTACTTAAGATTTACTTTTTTATTTATGTGTCTATATACACACACACACACACACACACACGGAGTATCTTACATTAGGGAACATGCTCAACGAAAAAAAATAATTAAACCAGTTACACACTAATTCAAGTAACACGGGACTTCAATGTTTATAGAATTATAGGATGACCCGAAGTAGGGTTGTAAACGAACCGAATCGAATTGAATATTCATGAAAAATATTCATATTCGTTAAGATGGAGTGATATTCGAATTCGAATTCGAATTCGGTTCGAATATTTTTTAAGATTCGTATTCGGTTCGTTTAACATATTAAACATATTCGATTCGTTTAAATATTCGATTCGTTTAAATATATTCGGTTCGTTTAAAATTATTCAGTTCATTTAGATTTTAAAATATTTATAACCATTTGATATATATATATATATATATATATATATATATATATAATTTATATAATTTATATAAAATTTATATAATTTATATAATTAGATTTATATTCCGAATATATTTGTTAAACTCACGAATCGAATACCCTTGATTCATATTCGTATTCGATAAGGATTCGAATATTTATTCAGATTCGTATTCGTATTCGAATTCGAAAAAATCGAATACGAATCACCTTAAACGAATACGAATCACGAATCGAACACAAAATATTCGATTCATTTACGTCCCTAACCTGAAGCACCTACAATACTATATTTAAAAAATTGATAGTCCCTACCTCTAACCCCGTAGTAAATTCTCCCACCTCGATCCGACTAAAATTAGATATGTAAAAATTATCAATTTTTCAAATGAAACATCATAAGCACTGCAAACAGAGCCTATGTCATATGATGGCATGAGAATTAATGTCAGCTGAACGCCCCCAACTAGTTATTAATTTCTTACAAAAAAATATGGGGTAAAGTAACTTCTAACAAACTGTTAGACTATTTTTTTTGGAAACAACTGTTAAACTAGTTATTAACTTCTTGCAAACTGTTAGACAAAAGAGATAAAACTACAAACTTGTACACCTGAAGAAAGCACACCAAGAGCACAAAAACCAAAAGAACAACAAAAAAGAGAAGTGGAAATGGGAGGGGGAAGTGAATCCTTTCCCCCTTCTTGAAACGACCTATCAAATGTCCAACTGGCTTTGGACCTCCAAAATTGTCCTAGCAGAGTCCCTAAGCTTCTGCTCCTCCTCCTCCGTGAGATGGACGTTGGTGACCCCCAACACCCCCTGCCTCCCGAGCTGAGCTGGCAGGCTGAGGAACACGTCCCCACCCTCGATCCCATAAAACCCCTTCGCGAGGACCGACACCGGGTGGATCCTCCTCTGGTCCCGAAGTACGGACCGGGCAAGGTTTGCCACGGAGTAGCCGATGGCCCACGACGTGTAGCCTTTGAGGTTGATCACTTCGTACGCGCTCTCCACCACGCCTCGGTGGATGCCCTCGAGCGTCTCTTTCTCAAACGCGATCTGTTGTCGCTCTAGGAAGCTTAGCACCGGCACCCCTCCTATGCTGATGCTCGACCACAACGCCACTGAACTGTCGCCGTGCTCCCCGACGATGTATGCCTATCATCAATACAAAGAAGTGCAAAAAATTTGACTCTAAAATCAACTAAGTGTGAGGATTGCAATTGAATGGACGGGGTCAATTTGGGTGGGGCCGGTGTGGGAATTACCAAGAGAGTTAGAAGGTAAGAATATTAAGTTGGAAGAAAGACTAAAATATGACTAAAATATTGAAAATATACTAAAATAAGACTTCCATGTTTTTATTTTCGAAATAGGACTTACATTGCCAAACATGGTCCATGCACATATACAGTGCCACATCACCACAATGCAAAGTCCTATTTTTGAAAAGAATATGAAAATCTTATTTTGATATTTTTCTCTATATTTTATTCCTATTTAGATGATTTCTACAATAAATTTTAAGAACGAGACAACATAGGCGACACAATTGTTTTATTATGTAAAACAACTTCTTAGAATTAATTTAGAGGGTATCATACAATTTGCATTATGAAATACAAATCACCCTAAATAAGACTAAAACATAGAAAAATATACCAAAATAAGACATTAATGTTTACTTTGCACTGTGATAATGTGGCACTGTACATGTGCACATTACTATACTTCTTTGGTAATGTATATGATCGTGTTTGGTAATGTAAGTCATATTTCGAGAATAAAAATATGAAAGTCCTATTTTATTATATTTTCAATGTTTTAGTCCTACTTTGATTTTTTTTTTCATTATGAAATTAGAGGGGTGAAGGATGTGTTTGGAACGAAAATAATTGATTTTATGATCGAAGCACTCTAGGTGTTCCTATTGAATTGGTATAACAATGTTACATCAATAAATTCGTGTAAGATTACCCTGTTAATTTTTTGTATTGAGATTAATTGAATTCATGAAGAAATGTATCCAGTTTAATTAAAGATGAATGGACTCACTTGGACGTCCTGGGCATTGACGTCAAGGTGATCAGCAATCAGGGAACGGAAACGGGAGGAGTCCAAATTCGTGCCCGACCCGATGACCCGGTTCGATGGGAACCCGGAAAGCTTCCAGGCGATGTAGGTCAGGACATCCACCGGGTTGGAGACGACCACCAGAATCGCGCTCGGAGAGTACTTCGCCAGCGGCGGGATGATGGATTTGAACAGAGAGCAGTTCCTCTGGATCAGATTCAGCCGCGTCTCTCCCGGATTCTGCCGCGCTCCGGCGGTGACGATGACGAGATCCGATCCGGCGGTGACGGCGGGATCCACGTCCGCCTGGATCTTAGTGCGGGGGAGGAAGGCGGCGGCGTGCTGCAGATCGAGCATCTCGCCGCGGAGCTTGTCGGCCTTGGCGTCGACGAGGGCGAGCTCGTCGACCAGATCCTGCGTGAGGATCGTCTGCGCGATCGCCATGCCGACGTTGCCGACGCCGACGACGGAGACTTTGATGTGCCGCTTGACGGGGGACGGTGGCGCGGCGTCGGGGACGGGCTTGAAGAAGGCCTGGCTTATGTCCAGGCCGCCCGGTCCCAGGGAGGAAGACGATGAAGCCTTGTGCATTGTGGTGGAGCGGCGTGGCGGCGGTGGCGCTGTGAATCCGCGATGGGGTGAATTTTGTTGAAGGCGAAGTTGAAATGCTTCTGAGCAGTCGGGTCATCTCCATTTTCAACCCGTAGAAAAAACGGGCAATTTCCAATCTCCGTGGGGCTCAATTCAACGGTCAAGATTTATTTTTGACCCATTCCCAACATTTCTTCTTACTTCTAGAATCTAAAACTTGGGTAAATTTCACCAATGGTACCTGAACTTTAGCTAGAATTTCGAAGTGGTACCTGAACTTCAAATCCTTTCACAAAAATCCCTNAACTTACACAATCCTTTCACTAATGAGCCATTAGCCCGTTTCTAGGTTAACTTCCGGTCATTAGGGCCAAATTCGAATTTTATATATTTTAAAATTTTCAATTTGACCCCATTTCTTCTTTTCTTTTCTTCCAGGCCCCGCCGCCGCCGCCCGCCGGTCAAAGTCGCCGGAAAATGAACTTTTTCCGATTCCGGCGGGACCAATGTCATTCTCTTCGTCTTGAGACGAGGATCAATAATATCCAAACCATTTTGTCTAATTTTGCCTGTAACTTCTCGAATCTGAATTTTTCTACTCGAAAAAACCCTAAAATTCGAAATTGGGTCTAAAATTGGGAGTTTTGCAAATCGTCATCAAATCTTGCAATTGAAGGGTCCTTAGAGGTCGCCCGGATGCCACGACCACATTGGAGTTGGTGCCCGCCGTCAATTTCGCCGGAGTTTTGTCATTTGTGAACTCTGATTTTTTAAATTTATTCTTTTCAATTTGTAATTTGTGAATTACATTTACATTTTGTAAGATCGTGAATATGTTAAAATGATTGAGTTTTGTTGTAAATTTATAATGCTCTTAATTATTTAAATTTCAATATAGGAAACAAAGGTATTACGTATTATAATAAATCACTTTCAAAATATAAAAACTAGACTTTCAAATATGTATTTTATATTTTTAATGAAAGAGTATTATTAATTTGTGATTTTATGGTATATGTGAACTTTAATACTCCCTCTGTCCCTAAATGGATTACAATTTTTTTTTCTCTCTCCTCTCGATAACTTTTGTTTGTTTACGAGATTTCATTAAGTATTTGATAAAATAAAATATTTTTGTCACCTATTGTTTTGTAGAACTTTTCACGTAATTTTTTAATATGTAATTTTTATATCTTATTGATATACCAATTTGTAAATAAAATGATTTCAAAAAGTAGAAAATTTTACTCCGTAAGCCGCAATTTGTAATCAAATTGGGGACGGAGGGAGTATTATACTTCTCCCAACCCTTAATGTCCTTCCCATTTAGACCTCAAGAGAATTAAGGACGGGATATCTTTGTCTTGACTTTCCAAAAATATTCTTAATGAGATGACTAAAAATAGGATATGACGGTAGATTATTAATAAAAATGTATGATGTGATAGGTAGAGTAAAAATTAGTAGGGATAAAAAGAGTTTTTTAATAAAAATAGAAAGGATTTTGTGGGACAAAGAAAAAAAGAAAGGAGAAAGAGTTTGTGGGATGAAGAGAGTATAGTATGAAGTATTTTTTTATTTAATTTTAAAAATGTTGTTGTTTGATATGGATTTATTAAAATGCGACCCCATGGCTCAAAAGCTCTGGGTCCGCCCCTGTTCGAAATTGCAGCTCCGCTGCTTCTGCTCTTCCATCTCATTAGTTTCTACGGAGTATAATCTTTAATTCTTTACTCCTCCTTATGATTGGATAAATAGTCCGTATCTGATTTTAATTCTCAAACCCAAAACAAAATAGCAAATCATCTCTCATCTTCTTCCTCTGGAACACCAGAGTAAAGAAAATTCAAGAAATCACCCAAAATGCTGAAAGCCCTCGGTAATTTAACCTTTCTCTCTTCCTCTTCTTCTACTTAATCTTTTCTTTTCTTGGGGTTTTCGAAGGAATTATTCGATGATTCTGTACATTTTTTTTTGATGGATTGTAAACTGAACAGCTTTTCTGGGGAAGAAGAAATCTGCGCGGCCGTTTAGGGATTTCTACGGCGAGTGGTTTAAGGCCCTGAAGAACGCCCACCTCCCCCAGCTACGCCGCGCCATGTCGTCCGCCACCGTGTCTCCGGTCATCCTCGCGGCCCACGTCGATTCGCTGCACCGCCACTTCATCTCCTACTACGAGGCTCTGGATCTCGCCGCCGCGGACGACGTCGCTCAGGTCCTGTTCCCCGATTGGCGGAATTGCCTCGAGAAGCCCTTCCTCTGGCTCGGCGACTTCCACCCTTTTCTGTTCACTAATCTGCTCCGGTCATTTCTTGACGACGGCTCCGACGAGGAAGGCGGCGATTCCAGGGAGTTCGAGCTCCTCGCCGGGAAGCCGTGGTATCTGGCGACGGCGTGGCGGAGCCCACCGAAGGCGTTGATGGGCAGAGTCGATCAGATCGAGTGCGGGTTGCGGCTCATGGTCCCCGCGCTGGCGGCGCGTTTGAAGCACGCGCAGGCGGCGTTCGCCGAACGGGTCGGCCGCGAGTGGGGTTGCTGCGAGGGGCGGAGCGAGGAGGCAAGGGAGGGGATCGAGGAGTATCTGGCGGCGGAGATGGAGGAGCTCGTCGACATTTTCGTCGACGCAAACCGTCTGCGGCGGAGCGTGCTGTCGGATATCTTGAACGTGACGGACGTGTATCAGGCCGCCTTGTTTCTTGAATCGCTGGCCCAATTCCTTGTTGGGCTTCGGGACAAAAAGTTGTTGGCCCAATTGGAGAAATACACAATGCCCATCAATTGATCCTCCAAAGCATTAACGGGTCACCACACATTATTGGGCCCTCTTTCACTGCAGCCCATATCTCATTTTCCATTCTTTTTGGTTGCGAATTTAGTTTTTTATTGTTCATGGATGTAACTGAAAAAACAAAAGAAAGTACAGTTAGTTTTATAGTGTGATATGATTAGTTAAAAAAAAACAATAAAAAAATAGGCGGTTTTAGTTTTATAATGGAGTACAATTGGTTTAGTGTTAATTATCCTGCCCCACAAAGAACTTCATATTTTATGTATTTGGATGTCCTAAAATCGTTCACATTTTTTTTGAACATCGAGAACGCATATTTTCATTCACCGCGAAGAATTAGTTTCTCTTTTGAGTGTGTTTGGAAAAGAAAAAAAATTGACAAAAAAGAAGAAGATATATAGTGGAAGTTTAACTTCTGCTAATTTATATTGTTGCAAAGAAGTAGAAGATAGAGAATTGAAAATGAGTTGACAAAAAGTCATTTGCCTGGTTGAAAAGATTCTAGGAAGTTAGTGAAATAAAATTATACTTGTATTATTTAAAAAATAATAATCCCGAAAAAGTATATTTATTTTTTTCATAGGGTTTATATATATTGACACTTATTTGGGATGTTGTATTATGACACCTAAAATGATTGCTATATTATTACTTTTTAAGTTACTTTAAAATTATTATTGGAGACGATTAAACACAAGGCAGAGGAAGAATCCTTTATATATAAATTTGAGACTCTAATGCATAATAGCTTGACATGTAGCATTCAATAATATGAGATATACGTATGGCATGATACGAGGTAAATATGTGGCATAATATGAGGCATATTATGTGGCATTTGATTTATGAGTTAGACTTCATTCAATAATACTTGACATGTGCATTAATTATGTGGTTTTTTACACCTAATATGTCACAATTTACAACATAAAATATGAAGAAAAAAAATTGGCATGAAATCATTGAATAAACTTAATTATGAAATAGTGATATTCATTTTTATATTAATATTTTTTTTTTCATAATTCAGTATTTATATTTCTTAATTTATAACAAAATTTTCAATTAATTAATACGGCACTCTCTTGACCTCTAAATAAATTACATATGAATATTTGTTTATGATAAGTTAAAATGAAGTTAGTTTTGAATACATTTCTTTCAATATTTATATAAAATAAAAAATAATATATTTTAAATATTACATTAAAGATTTAAAAAAAGAGATAATTGGTTATAATCGTGTTCAATAGAAGAAAAATTACTATGCATAATTTCGTAGTTAATTGTTTTTTTTTTGAATGCATAGTTAATTGTTTTAAATTTATGAGTTTAGTTAATTACTAGAAAATTTATCGTTTATAAGTTTTAGATGCTTTATGATTTAAATTATATAATGTAATTGATCAAAATAAAATTTCACATTTTTTATGATATTCTTAAATGAAGTTAATTTATATTTTATTTATTTAAATATAAAATAAATAAAATAAAAAATACTCGAGTATATTTTAATCTCTAACATTATTCGGATTGTTCTATAAAATAAGAGGGGTCTAGATTATTATTAAATGGTCAACCATTTAAATCAAATAAATTAAAAAAGAATATTTTCACGGGCTTGAATGATTTCTTATTCAAACATAAAGGAAAAAGAATTGAATGAGAATTTTCCAATGTATTTATACAATTTATTCGGAATCATTAGATTACTAATATTTTTTATATTATTATTTGTTTGAATTAATGCATTAGAGAAGAATCATTAAAATTTTAATATTTTTTAAATTTATTATTTGAATCATACCATGCCTAATTCAAGATTTGACCATTAAAACCAAACTATAATCATTAGAGCAGAAGAAATACGTGCAACGCCCACCAATGTCAAGCACGATTTTAACACCCGGGGCGTTACCGCACCCTAAGGCTTCAACCGGGCGTCACTCCCTCACCGTCAAACGTTTGACGCACTCCCTCCTCCCCACCTAATGGTTAAATTAGCCGTTGCATCTCAGCAAAATTAATTACTTTTTATAAATTTCAAACTTCATCTCCTTCATTTCTCACATCTTTCAATCTCTAATTCTCATCAATCTTCTTCACACCTTCAATTTTCAATTCTCTGATTCTCCAATTCTCATTTCAACATGAATCCCTACGGCTCTGGCTTTTTCCTCGACGATCTCGAGCCTAACGAGCACGTAGGCCATGTAAATCTTCCAACAATACGAGAGTTATCCAATAACGTTGTTCGAGACGCAATCATCAGTGTACGTCTATGAGCGGGACTCGGTTCCAGAGACTCAATCGGAACCATCCGGCACCAAAAAAAATGCACGCCAGAAGAGCCACAGAGCGAAAGGCACTCAAGCGATGACCGAGGCGGCATGGTCAGTCCAAAAGCGGACGCTAGAGGAAGAGTGCTTGTTGGCGTCGGTTTGGGTTGACGTCTCCGAGCATCCTATTGTTGGTAAAATTATATATTTTCTAATATATTTGTGTTTTTATTTATATAATTGTATTATATATTTGTGTAAAAAAAATTCGTGTTATACTTTTTAAAGGTTCAGAGCAAACAAAGGATGCGATGTGGGATCGTATCGAGGAAAAGTTGTTTACAGCGATAAACAAGGACGCCTCGTACCGTACTCGGGACCAACTCACTTCCAAATGGGGCCACATTAATCGTAAAGTCCAAAAGTTTATCGGAGTTTACGAGGAATGCGCTCGGTCCCGGAGGAGCGGGACGAACGACGCTGATTTTCTCCGACTTGCCACGATCGAGTATCAAGACGACGTGCACCAAGGCAAGGTGCACATTGATCTTTGGAGGAGTTTAAGCCATTCACTGAAATGGCAACAACTCGATCAACAATTCCGAGGTCGGATCCTCCAAGAAAAGATCCTCCGTCGACGCTGATGTTGAGGTCGATGACACTATCGGTTCGACCAAACAAAGGCATCCCTTCAATGTTGCGGATTCAGATGACGAGGACCTCATTCCACGGCCAATTGGATAAAAGAAGGCAAAATCCATTGCCTCGGGTTCTCGAGGGCCCGACTTTGTTTCCGTTTCTTCTCACGACGATATCGGTCGAGCATTGATTGAACAACTTCGGGTGTTCAATATTCGAGAAGAAGAGAGGGCGAGAAGAAAGGAAGAGAAGGATGAGATCGAAATAATGGAAACCGACCTTGATACATTATCGGGCTTGAAATGTAACACCCCAATCCGTATAACCCGGAATTATACGAATTAAGGTGAAACGAGAGTTAAATAAAAATTTCGCTTGACATTTGAAAATGACAATTTATTATAAATATTAAATTTACAGACTCTGGATCGCGACACATTTAAAAATATTTTCAGAGTAATGCGGAAGTACAATAATAATCAAATCATGACTTTTTTTAAAATATGTTGATCAAACATTTGTCTGCCATCCTTGCATCTCCTCTGACTCAATGCCCTCCGGGAATGGTTCCATCATTGTCTTCTTGTTACCTACGTGTAGTCAACGAAAAATACAAACTACACGCTCAGCGAAACCGCTGAGTGGCACCACGCTAGAATTGTAGAATGATTCACAGACGTATACATATACATATATATGCGTCCACAAATGTATAATAATATTCATGATATGGAACATTATATCATATGGTCAATTTGATGATTCATGATGATAAATTTTTGATGATAATTACATGATGGCACATTTAATCAATTTGCTTGTGAGGATGATTACATGATACTTATGTAATCAATATACCCTTTCTTGATGATGATTACATGACACCTATGTAATCGATGTACTTGATGATGATAATATGATGCATGATTCTAAGACGCAAGGACGAGCCTTGAACTATGAGATTCGCCCATTTGGTACGATGAACTCATGCAGAAATAGGGGTGGTACTCGAAAAACTAAGTACCATGTACGTACACTAAGCCCGGTCCGTGATGTCGGACTGCTAAGTCCCGCACAATCACAACTACAAGAGACACACTTCCACCTGATCTCTTGCGCATGCACATGATGTGATATGTTTACATATGGAAGATGAAATGAATCACATGATATGAACAATTTGTAAACAACATGATTGGATAAATATACTTTATTTTATTTGGATGAAATCTGATAAAAATATCATTAAAATAAGTTACGGGGCTCGGAACACCGTTGTTGACTAACTGAGAAAGACGGTCCTCGGCTCGGCGGGCGGCAATCGACCGTCAGCCACCGGCGGTCGACCGTTTGGCTGACAGTCCTGGTTCGTCTCGAAGTTTAACGCGACGGTCGACCCTTTGCGTCGACCGTTTAGGTCTGTGAAAGTTTCTCTTGATATTTTGAGTGTCCAAAAATACTTCTTTAAGTCTTTTAAACACCTTTGATTAATATATACATTTTTGGGTTGATCTCAAATGTTTATATATACTTATGTATATATATATATATATATTGACTTTATGGATTTGGTATATTTTGGTCTTAACACAAAGATGACTAATATATGTATCACATATATATTTTGGGATAATTTCAACATATGGATTAACATATATGTTCATGTACGTATGTGATGAATGATTCGACAAGTCTAACGCAAAGGTACAGACCTGGAAATCATCGGCCGAAACCTTACGGATGAGCGGGAGTGGAAACAACATCGAAATTTGCCAACTTTGTCATTTCCGTCACAACTGGACAGCTTGCGGTAATTTGGGCATATCTCCATCGTTTCTCCACGGAATTGCAAACCGTTTGATTCTGTGGATTCCTAAGATGTAAGGCTACAACTTTCGTATAGAAAGTATTTCGTTTTAACATATGTAAGATAGCGTAAATCGGACCTGAAGTCAATAGAAAGTTGCTGTCCAGAATTTTCGGGTATGTCGATGAACATGATTCCGACGATTAACTCACTAACTTCAACGTTCCAATGCCGAACTTTCTCTACGATACCTTCCGGATGTTGCTAATAATTGTTAAAAAGTTTATGGTAAGTATTTGGGATGAAATAATATTAATTTGGTGAAGAAAAACATGCCAACTCGAGGAGCTCGCCACCACTGGCGCAGTCCCGGTATTTTGGTCATATCTTCCTCGATACTTAACGAAATCACGAGCCAATTGTTGGTCTGGATTCGTATCGTCTGGGGCTACAACTTTGGTTTAGAAAGTATTTCGAGATAATGTATGGAGAATTTCAGTTTTTACCTAGAAGTGGGCTGCTGTGTTTGAACTCAGGATTTTAGAAACTTTAGCTACTTCCTTCTTGCTCCTTCTTCTTACTTAACATGAAATCATGGAGTTGGAATCTCCTTTTTCCTTCTTTGGTGCCTGACCGACAGAGAGAGAGGTGAAGAGGAGATGATGGATGGATGGATGATTGGTGATGATGTTTGATGATGAATATGTGGTGGAGAAAATGGAATAAAGGTGGGAGTATTATATAGGAAGGGTTGGATTATAGTGTTAGTGGAGTGGAGTGGGGTAGCTAAGGAGAAAGGTCTCGTGATTGAAGGAGTTTTGAAGATTTTAAAATATTCTCCTACTCCGTAACTGATAAACTGGCTAAAACGGTACGCCCTTTTTCGCCTAAACTGTCATGAATTGAAAACGGATTGTGTTTTTGGAAACAGACTGTCAAAACTAGAATTTTGACGTAATCAAAATATTTTTTTGAGAACTTTTATTTTTCTAAGTGTTCAGGTCTGTCTCAGTCATAAATTAATTTAATGATATGAATGAGATAAAAATATATGGATTAAATCCAAATGATTAATATGATGTTGTCAAGGGTCAAAATTATGATTTCTAATCTTATAAAATCACCTTTGGATTGAGTTTATTTTATGGGTCAAAGTTACAAATTTTAACAAAATTTTAACTGTATTGAACTTTAGATATTTGGTCTAACTAAGTATTTTACATGTCAACCTAAGCAGAGAAGCTCTGTATAGGTATTTTTATTGAAAAATTGTTTTTAAGTAATAAAACTTTTAGGTAAATAAAAACCAGTAACGTATAAATATTTCTTATTGGATAAAATTTACTTTTGTTTTATAATAAATTTTAGGTCATATTTTGTGGCGTTACTTGAAACGTATGATTTTTGAGAGAAGACAAAAAGAGATACAGACTAAATATAATTTACCTTAGTTTTTTTTATTAATGTATTTTTTAAAATTATTATTGCTTTCTTTTTTTTAATTTAATGAATGTAATTTTTTTAATTATTCATTTTTCAATATAATTAAACAATAAAATCATAAAATTTTATTAATTTAGTTTTAGAAGATGAATGCTAATTTTTAATGAAAAAAACTCCATAAAATTAAACGATACAATTATTTGTTTAAGTTCAAATAACTAAAAATATAAATAAAATAAAATAGGGAGTAAATAGAAATATAATCCGAAAAAAAAAAGAAATATAATCCGAAATTAGTGGAATTGGACCATCCTCGTGGTGAGTTTTTTTTATAACTTTTAACAGTGACCAACTCCCCGCCTTACACTCACTACACAAAAGCCTAATTAACCGCCCACTCACTCCCTTAACTCAATCTTTCCATAATAAAATTAACTTTCCTAAACACACATTTTTACCATTAAAGAAAAAAACCACTTTATGAATTAACCAACATTTACTCGCTGTAAAAAAAAAACATGGCCTCCATGCAAAACCAACCCGAGGAATCAACCGCCATACTCATTCCGCCGTCTCCAAACACCCCGTTGTTGGGCGGCGGCCCAAGGCGGCGCAGCCGATCCAAGGCCGCCGTCGCCGCCATGGCCGTGTCGGCGATTCTCGCCGCGGCAGTGCTTCTTGCGACGGTGCCGCGTAGCATTGGCGGGAAGGGGAAGACCGACGACACCCTTTCGTCTCCGCATTTGCCGAATGCGACGGCGGTTTTATCGGCCGGGCCGGCGGTGGCGCGTGGGTTCAGAGAAGGAGTGTCGAACAAGTCGTTCGGCCCGCCGCCGGGGGATGATGGGCCGTTCACGTGGACGGAGGAAATGCTGAGCTGGCAGAGAAGTTCCTTCCATTTCCAACCCAAGAAAAACTGGATGAACGGTACACACTTCCCATATGTTAATTGAAATTTTGAAATTAGAATTTTTGGTCTCTATAAAATATTTTTTGTTAAGTCATCCTTACAAAATTTTCTTTTTTTAAAATCGTCCTTAAATATACTTTAGATTTCTAATTTGTTTAGATAACACATTTATTTCGTAATCAACATTTTAGTCTTGCATTTCTAATTAGCTTATCAGACACAATTCACATGATATAAAGCGTCTTTTTTATCGAATTACATCTCCGATTTCCAAACTTTAATATACTATATTCTTCAAAAAATTAAAAATTGGAGATGTGATATGAATAAAGATAATCCTTCCATTTGTTAAAAAAGTTTTCATTTTGACTTTTAGGAGAAAATAAGTAGTGTATTGTCGGTGAGTTTTCAATTGTACTTAACTTTCTAAAACTATTTTAGGAAGTTAAAATTAAGAACATAATTTATGCTCAATTTTATTTGACTTTAGAGTTTAGACATAGAAAAAAAAAGATAGGGACAAGTTAAATGCCAATGAAAGGAATATATACTTTTTCTCATAGGCTCACAATAAAATTTATATTTTTCTTCATTTTCTTGCATGGTTTTGACGGCGTGGAACGGAAACTGGCTCTCTATCATCAGATCCTAACGGTACGTAACCCTCCATGCATTTTCCCCTATGATCCATTAATTTTAACCTTTCAAAAATATCAATTTTAACCTTATTATGGTAATTAAATACTTCGTAGGTAACAACCACGTCTTTAACGATGCAAGAATCTTCATTTTTATTTGAAATTCCCAATGTTTTATGTCAAATTCGTTCAGAGCAATGCTAGGTTCACAAACAAAAAGATCACAAACTTACTATTTATAGTTTAAATTCTTATTTTAAAATTATTTTAGATTATTTAATTTCTTTATTAAAGTTCACAAATAGTAAGTTTGTGAAGATTGTGTTTGTGAACCAAGCATTTCCCATTCGTTCATTCTCAATGTAGTACTTAAAATTTTTTATTCCCTAAATAATACGAGTATTTGAATAATGTTTAGTTTGAACAATGTCCAGTGACGCTGGACATTTACTTGAACAATGACTAGTAGACATTGAACAGTGATACTACATTGAAAAATAAAAACATATAGTATTACAGTGGGAAATCACTATGTTTTAATACGATTTAAGTAAATTTCTTATGTCTTATACTTCGTAATTTTTATTCTTTGACACTAAAATTTATTGATGACAATACAATTCATAGATATGTATATTTATTTGTGCAACATAGGGAGTATTTCATAGATACTCATTGCAACAATGGCATTGTAGGTCCATTATTTTATAAGGGGTGGTATCATCTTTTTTACCAGTACAATCCGGAATCGGCAATATGGGGCAACATCGTATGGGGCCATGCGGTCTCGAGAGACTTGATTCACTGGGACCACCTCCCCATAGCGATGGTGCCCGACCATTGGTACGACGCCAATGGCGTATGGACGGGGTCGGCCACCATCCTCCATGATGGCCAAATCGTCATGCTCTACACGGGGGCCACGTACGATCTGGTCCAGGTACAGAACCTGGCCTACCCTGCTGACCCATCTGACCCTCTCCTGGTCAAATGGGTCAAGTACGAGGGCAATCCAGTCCTCGTCCCGCCTCCTGGGATCGGGTCTCGGGATTTCCGAGACCCCACCACTGCGTGGTACACGATGGACGACGGCAAGTGGCACATCATGATCGGTTCGAAGCTCAACAAAACCGGGATCACCATGATCTTCGACACCGAGGACTTCAGGAGCTTCAAGCTCGTAAACGGGTTGGCCCACGGGGTCTCGGGTACGGGCATGTGGGAGTGCGTGGACTTTTACCCGGTTTCGACCACGGGCGAGAACGGGCTGGATAGCTCCTATAATGGGCCGGACATGAAGCACGTCTTGAAGACGAGTCTCGATGACGACCGAAATGACTATTATGCCCTCGGCACGTATGATGAGGGGGCTCAGAAATGGAGGCCCGACGACCCGGGTCTGGATGCGGGAATCGGGTTAAGATACGATTACGGCACCTACTACGCCTCCAAATCCTTCTATGATCAAGAAAAGAAGAGAAGAGTCAATTGGGGTTGGATTTATGAAATTGATAGTGTTACTTCTGACTTGCAAAAGGGGTGGGCTTCCCTCCAGGTATGTTTTATACTACTTTCGTCCTATAAAAGAAAATTCATGTTTAGATTTTCAGAAATTCAAGAGAAGTGAAAAAGAAAATTGCTTTACATAGTGAGAGGGTGAAGATTTATGAAAGATATAGTTGTACCATTATTTACAACCAAATGCTACACATTTCATTTTAGGGTCCGTTTGGTATACGGAATTGATGGAACTGGAATTGAATTGGAATTGAAATTCCATGTGATTAAATTCCATAAGATTGAATTAACCAATTTTAATTGATTTTTTGCACTATCAATTCCAAATCCGCATAATTTTTGTGCTACCAAACACTAGAACTGGAATTGAAGTCTTCAATTCCAATTTATAGTTTGAATTCCGTGTACCAAACGGGGCCTTAAGTCTTTCTCCCAATTTAAAACCTTTTTAGTATATATTGAGTGGTGACCACAAGTTTGATATTATTAGGGACAATCACGTACAAATAATCATTGTTAATCACAAGATCATAATTTAGGATACTGACATTGTCAATTAATATTGGCATTATCCGCGTGATGTGACTATAGCATGTACTCTCTTTGTTCCAAAATATTTTACACCTGGCGTAAAAAGAAGTAAACTTTTTGGGTTTTTGAATGCATTTTATTTAAAGATTTATATAGAAATTTAAAATAAAACTTATACGCTATATATTTAAAAACTACGCCAAAAGTAGATGTGATAATAATACTTTATTTTGTCAAATAATCAATCAAAACACATATATAAACAAAATTTTACATGATTTTTGAATCGTGAATAGTATAATTCTTTTTTAGACGAGAGTATAACAATTGTGAGAAGTGAGTTACTCCATAATTATTGTAACAATGCAAATTTAATCCCAAAATGACACGTAAGTTGACACTACCACACACATCTACAAACAAACATCATTGTCTGTGGAGAATCATTATCTATGAAAGTATGAAACACTAACAGCATTTTTATTTGTATCATCTGTAATGTAACTGTAGCGTGATTCTAATGTTGAATGTGCTGTAGCATTTCCCATTAATTTAAGCGTTATAGTTAAATCAAATTTTGTATGGATTGTTATACTAAATTTGGAATGTGACAAAATTTTCATAGGCAATTCCAAGAACCATATTGTTTGATAATAAAACGGGTACAAATTTGAGACAATGGCCCGTGGAAGAGGTCGATTTGCTAAGAAGCCACAGGTCCAAATATCAGAAGGTTGAGCTCAAACCCGGTTCGGTTGTTGAATTGGACGTGGGCTATGCCAATGAGGTCAGCATTTTTTTCCTTTCCCCTTGCTTAAAAAACTAAAATTATTTAAAATATGCATAAATATTTAGGGCTATTCAACGCTCCTGGAGCCAACCAAACCGGACTTGAATGGGCTGGATTGGAAACCGAAAAAACTTTGGTGCTAGACCCGGCGGCGGAGCCAGGATTTAGGGGTAGTGGATGCGCTATACCGAGAACTCGTGAGTCGTGCCCCAAATATTTATTTAAAAAGATAATACGGAGTATAAAACAATTAAAAAAATTAATGAATTTATATCAAGCTAACATTCATATAATTTAAATATAAATATTTTAGGAAATACTCCCTCCGTCCCTAAATAGATTACAATTTTTTTATCTCTCCTCTCGATAACTTTTGTTTGTTTACGCGATTTCATGAAGTATTTGATAAAATAAAATATTCTTGTCACATCTTGTTTTGTAGAACTTTTGACGTAGTTTTTTAATATGTACTCCGTAATTTTTATATTTTATTGATATACCAATTTGTAAATAAAATTATTTCAAAAAGTAGAAAATTTTACTCCGTACCCCGCAATTTGTAATCAAATTGGGGACGGAGGAAGTATTATGCATGTACTCACTTTCTTCATCAAAACTGTTAATTTATAAAACAAGTGTTGATTTGAGCATAATCTTCATATTAATTTAATAAAAAAACAATAGATATTAAAAATAACACAAAATTAGAAGAGAAAAAAATCATATTATCAATTGATGTGGGCCATGTAGCACGTCCCCACTATGTTCTGCACTTCTGCTATGCTCTCTCTCTCTCCCCCCCTATATATATATATATATATATATATATATATATATATATATATATATATATATATATATATATATATATATATATATATATATATATATATACTAAAAAATAAAAATTGGAGTGACTGCAATTGCAGTCAATTGCTCCTCTTTGGCTCCGCCCCTGGCTAGACCGGAGCCGGTTCAGAAATTAGGTCCGGACCAAGCCGAGAAAATCATTTTTGTATGGCGAATTTTATAGATTTTCACAACATAGATGAAATATCTAATAATCAATTTTTTCAACGAACCTATATCCAGTACAACTTCAAATTATTTTTTGATCAAAATTAGTCAAAATTCGTCTGGTGTATTTAACTGTTTTAATCAGTTGGACATTGTTGCGGAGTTTGAAGTAGACGAAGAGGCGTTGGAAAAAGCGGAAAGCAACCACGTACCTTACAGTTGTAGGGCAGCCGGAGGCGGGGCCGCCCTACGAGGTGCCTTAGGGCCATTCGGCCTACTGGTTTTGGCGAACCATCAGTACTCCGAGCAGACTCCCATCTACTTCTACATTGCAAAAGGTGCAAAAGGAAAGTTCAAAACTTTTTTCTGCGCTGATCATTTGAGGTTTGTTCTGAAATTATTTTTTATTTATTGTATATCTATATTGGTAAAATATTAATAAATAAATAATTCTTCTTTATAAATTCATTTTTGCATGTGTTTTATTTATAGATCATCCCTAGCAACGGACGTACGAAAGACAACCTATGGTAGCACGGTTCCCGTGCTTGACGGTGAAAGACTCTCCATGAGAATATTGGTATGTCCGCTCCATAAAACATTTCATGTTTGAAAATAGGTGAATTTTTAATATATAATTTTTTTATTTCTTAATTTCCAAATTTTCAATCCTACACCTCATATTTTATCCTATTATAAAAGCAATATTAGAAGCTAACACCAAAACTACATATTTTGAAACTCGTCTTTATTTAAATAAGAAATTTTTATAGGACCGATGAAGTAGAAATTTATTTTCGTCCCCAAAAACTAATACAGATTTGAAATTAATTCTAATCAAATAGATTAATTTCCATTCCTTCTAATGCTCATTCTTAAAATATTTTTCCCTCTTAATTTCCCATCCCATTTTTTTTAAGTTTCTATTTCTTCCTTCTCACAATGGAGACCCATTTTCTTCAAAACGAAAAAAATATCTCATATTTTTTCGGTTCATTTTGTTTTAAAATTAGTATAGAACTAAAAAGTAAAATTTACACATTTTAAAAAACTTCAAATCTGGTACAATTGCATGTATATTAAATAATGTATAGGTGTCCAATTGCAAACAGAGTGAATATTAAACAATCATTTTTTCTTCTACTACTCCCTTCGTCCCAAAATGTTTGCCACATTTCACAAAACAAAATAAATATTAAGTTTTTTCAATTCATTTTATTTAAAGACTGGTATAAAAATAAAAAAAATAAAATTTACATGTTTAAGAACTACGTGAAAAATTCTTTAAAATAATACTCGTATGTGTCAAGAACATTTTATTTTATTAAATAATCAATGAAAATGTATAAACAAACAAAAATTTGGGTTGAAATTGTTTGAATAAATGAATGTGCAGGTGGATCATTCAATAGTGGAGAGCTTTGCCCAAGGGGGGAGAACATGCATCACTTCAAGAGTGTACCCAACAAGGGCTATTGGTTCCGCTGCTAAGCTCTATCTGTTCAACAACGCCACGGAGGCCGCCGTGACGGCATCGTTGGAAATCTGGCAAATGGCCGCCGGAAAGGACGACTCCGCCGCTCACAAGCCCAAATGGAGGACCTCCTCCTCCGCCGCCGCCATTCTACTTGTCTTCATGATCTTTTTCTTGTAGTCTCATTTGTTCCTAATCCATCTTATAATTAAGGGACAGGAGGGAAATAATTAATTACCTCGTTGATTAACTTATGCAAAAATCAAAATGGTGTTCTTCCCTATTACTTATTCGATTATTAGGTCAGATTAGAAAATTTAAATATAATTACAATCAGATGAGATAAAGAATTAATCGAATGAGATGAGTACCGTACCAATCATATAAGTTGAAGAGAATAAATATTACTCTTTTTGTTCTACGTCACCCATGAAATAATTCGAGACAGATAAAATACTTAAATGTTGGGACGTGGAGCAAGCAAACTCTCACATTGGAAAAGGGAAAAAGAGTTGAACCAAATTAATTCGAGACCGATAAAAAGAATTATTTACGGAATAATTATTAGTGTAAATTTTATAAATAAAATTTATAAATATTTAAAAATTGCTTGAAAAGTTTTTGAAACGATAGCTTTGTGATATTATTTCATTTTAGCAAATGATGAATTAATATGTATAAATGTATAATAAAAAAGATATGACTTGACTATATAAATAGAAAGTAGGAAATTATTTTTGGAACAGTGAGAGTATTGGTATCTAAATTGCACCATAAACCTTATCACATAAGCAAATCAATATGAAAAATTTAAAAAACTCTTCATTTTTTAACTTTTTTAATCAAACGATACACTTTTTTATCACAATTAAACATAATCTAAATAAAGAAATGTTATAAAAATTTGATATTCAAAACTACATATCCTAAGATGAACTTAATTATATTGTATTTTTATTATAATTCAATATACTTTTTTCCTATTTAAATTCAAAGAATATCATTATTTAACCAAAAAATTAAAATTAGAAAATTTTTTAGGACCGGAAAGAGTATTTTCAACGTATTTTAACTACTTACTCCGTAGTATTTTTCTTCTCCAGGAAGGATAGGCCGGCCCATAGTACTACGGGCAGCCCAGTACACATAAGTGTGTAGGTAGCAATTTTATCAGGATTAGAATTACTCATTTTTATTTAAATCAGGCGCAATAAATCAGAAAATTCCAAAATCCTAAAAATTCGAAGCCCTGCTTTTTCTCTCTCAACGGAAAGTCGTTCTCACACGGAACACAGCTCTCTCTCTCTGCTCCTCTTCCGTTCAATCGCCGGCGGCAGGTATTCTTATGCATGCGTTTTCCTTCGAGAATCTCCGTTCATATTTACACCCGTATGTGTCCGTTGCGTTTGAGCTTTTGTTCGTCTGCTTGTTGAACTTTGGTTCGATTGAATGATTGCGGCCGGGAGTTGAGACTGTGTGTGTTTTTGTGTGCTCGATTTTTTGTATATTGTAGTTCGGTTTGTTTTTCTTCATCGGATTTCGAGCGATGACGAGCTTGTTCGGGTGATTTTTCGAGTCGCCGTGTTCAGTTGCTGTTTGCTGCTGTTCTGCTGTGGCGGATTGCTGGTATCCAGCGGTGTATGAAGATCGGTCGGTTTTCTAGGGTTTTTTTTAGCTTCGCGCAGTGTTTTGATTTAGATGATTCTTAGTTGTTGATTGGCTTGACGTGTTTGTGGTATTCCTGGAGTTTGTTTTTTTGAAGTGATTTTCTCGTTTATTTTTCCTTCTTCACGAAGACTAGTGGAATTGAAAATTTGTTTTATTCTTAAGTCTTAACATAGTTAGGATTCAGTTTCATGAAATTTGGTGTATAACAATTGATGAAATCTGTGCTATGTGGAGTATGATTAAAACTCTAGAATTATTCTTTTCAAAATATTGGTGTGGTTTCAAATTCCTCATTGTGATTTCTTGGTTAGATTTTGTGTTGTTTTTCTGACAATCTTAATCTTTTCAATGTTTAGAAGTAAGAATGAACAAATCACTCAGAAGCACTGGCGGTTAATAGAGATATAGCACACTGAAATGGGAGGCTGCTGTTGCTGCTGTGCCTCTAAAGAAGAGGAACCGAATAGGACATCACAGTTTTACCATGTAAGTCAATTTTATCTCACTCCTAGAACCTATTAGAGCTTCAGCTGTGTTTTTTTGGTGCTCAGAGAGCTCCTTCATGATCTCTTGAGTGTGTTGTAGAGCGCGATTCTCCAACCCTAAACATGGTATTGGTTTATTGATATCTTCATCGTCGATCGAAATTCTTAATGAGGAACATTTCTTCTTCTTCTTTGTATACAGATAGAAACACAAATAGCCTATTACAATCTTCCCTCTTTAGATCAATTACACAACATTTATTGCTTGTGATCGATGCATAGAACCAAGTCACCAATTGCAGTCATTGTTTTCAAGTGTTAGTCCAACGCCTAATTCAGAAAAAATATGTGTTGGGTTGAGGGGTTGAAAATTTACAAGTTTTGTGCCAAAGTTTGCCAAATGGGTTTTGGTGCATGCTTGACTTTAATAGCTTATTGGTCTTTTAAGAACAATAACAAAGTTTAATTCAAAAGATTAAAATTGTAATAGAAAAGAATATCTGATTACACATTTATGTTGAGGAACATTATAGTCGAAATACTTGTCTAGTCTGCAATGAACACGTATTTTCCATCTTTGGGTTTGCCATGTTTAGTAAGTTGAACATTCACCATATTTTCAAATAAATGTTCCTCCTTAGTTTCTTATTATACTCTTGTGGATCTGTGCTTTAATATTTTCTGTTTCCATCAATGGAATTCTATTTGCACAAAAATTGTGAAAATTTCAATTGACTTACCATGTGCAATAAAATAATATGTAATGATGGCATAAATCACCAATCACCATCTCCGTGGAGTAAATGCTATGCGGTAAATATTTATATTTTCAAGTAGTTAGTAACGCTACATACTTTGAAAGTAGTTAGTCACAAGTAGTTGGTGAATATCAACATTCAAAGATATTAGTGTTCCATCTCACTGTAACTTACTGTACATTTGTAATGGGATAACTTGTCCAATCATCAAAATATGTACTCCGTAATATTATCAGAAGCATTTGGTTGGCAAAACTTGCTTGAAGGTGTGTTTGGTGCAAGGGAGGGAAGGAGGGGGGGGGGATTATGATTTTGTTGTCCTTTGGCCCTTCTCCGTCTTAAATTTCTTAACTGAATGAGGGGAGGTCAGCTTCTCCCCTCTCCTCGCCTCTCATACTTCCAGTATAAACACTGCCAGAGTGACAAGTGTTCTCTGCCATATTTGGTTTGTTTATCATATGTTTGTTCTCATTGCAGTACCCTAGAGGGTCAGAGGAGCGACAACCTTTATCTCACCATGGTGCAGCCTTGGTACTCTCCACAGGTCTCTTAGTCGATACAAATCTTGATACCTCAAGTCTGGATACTTATAGACCACCTCCAACACCAAGGCCTTATGAAACCTTTGCAGGGCGGCCTAGAACACCACCAGGCAATCAAGACACTCGCAAGAGTGATGCAACAGCACAGATAAAGAACACAGAATCTGGTGAAGAGACAAACTCTGGAAATCGTGCAACTTCAGAATGTGATGCCAAAGCGGGAGACAATATTGATCTTACTGCCCTAAATGTAGTGGTTGATGAGCTTGAGAAATCAGGTGATCTTAAGAAGTCCAACGAA